TTTATTGGGGAGGGGGAGGAGAGAAAATACAAGGGTAGAGAGAAGGGCTGGAGAACAGGTGACCTTGTTTTTATTTTTTCTCAAAACAGGGAGGACTGTCACCCTGCCGGCAGGTTTGCCCGCAGGGTACGTCTTGAGTGTGTAACGGCATCCACGACTGTTCTGTTGAATTTCAAAACGAGAAAACCTTTTTTTCCTTTTGACATACAACGTGCACCGGAATTAGGTGTGAGGGTGTGGCCGTGTTTCTAAGTGTACAGGTGAGCGAGGGTGGCTCCTGCGGGGGCAGGTGGTGGCAGAGGGGAGCTGTGGGCAGGGCGGCTGGTCACGGGGACAGCAGTCACACACTTGCAGGGGCGCACACGGGGGCGGTTGAGTGCGGGCAACTCCTCGAGTGAGCGGCCCTTCGAGGATGGACCTCAGAGTAAGCTAAGCTTCAGGCATGAAGGTGACCAGCTGGTAAGCAAGGTCTGAGGGTGGAGGCAGGAGGGGGAGCGCGGCAAGCTGCAGACTAAGCAGCAGGGCAGCTTTCGGGAAAGCCGGCCCTCTCCGGGTGAGCCCCGCAGACGCCCGGCACCCTTGCGGGCAGGACATGCCCCCGCTTCCTTAGAGCAGGGAACGGGGACAGGGAGTCGCGTGCGCGGTTCCTGAGGCCCTGCCCTAAACATACAGCTCAGAGCCACAGAGTGTTACACGTCTGTGCTGGCACTCAGGGTGGACTCTGCGGGGCACGTCCCCACTCACCGGCTGCTTGTCCTCTGAGCCAGATCCTCCCAGGAGCCGCCAGCGGGCTGGCTGGTTAGATGCTCTGCAGAGCACGTGCATTACTTGACATTTCCCTTCCCCTCTCCCTGGAATGACAAAACCTGGGACGATTTCCTTCTAGTTCTTATTTTAAGAAGAAACAACAAAAAACCAGCATAAAATGGCTCACACAAACAGTTTGCCAGAGGCATCGCTGCAGACTTAAGAGGCTGTCGTCTTCCCCCGAGGCCGCCCCCAGGCTGCTGAGGGACAAGGGTCAGACCCTCAACCCTCCCTGCCCCGGGACCCTGCCCCAGTCGTCCGCAGAGACGGACACCCGCTGCCCAGCTCCGGTGCCTCTGTCCCAACAACCCGGGTCTGCCAGTGGGAGCCAAAAAAGAAAAAGAAAAAAGAAAGAAAGAGAAAAAAGAAAGGGATCCCTCCCAGCAGCCTTGCACGCCACACGCCTCTGCCGCAGACCCAGTCAGACAACCGTCCGTGCGCCCCTGTCCCCACGAGAAGGGGCCCCACGAGAAGGGGCCTCACGATCTCCGGGGACGAGCTGGGTGAAAGATGGCAGGACAGGAAGATCCAGACAAGAGACAGGCTCAGGAAGAAAAGAGGAGGGCATGTCATGGAAGGCTTCGAGAAGGGCGTGCGGGTCAAACAGCAGCCCCCAGGTGCTGGAGCGCCAGACGCGGAGGCGCCGGTCAGCTCGCACCGTCCGGGTCACACCGGAAAACGCCGGTGACTGTGTATCTCCGTGGTTTCCCTCAGGTGCCCAGGGGTCAGCATGTCCACCGGCCGTAGAAGGGTCCAGGACAGAGACTCTGTGTAATTCCTATGCTAAAATCATCATCAGCTTCACTGGGCTGTCCCTAGACTCCAGGGGTCCTCAGGCCAGGGGCGAGAATCCAACCGTGACACTGACCCACCTCCCCTGTCTCTCTCGCTGCTCCCAAGCAGGCAGCCGCCCCCGGCATGGCCCGGCACCGGTTCACCGACGGAGGAAGCGCGGGGGGTGGGGGGGCGCCCGCCTGCGTCAGGTGTTAAGGGATCGCAGCGACGGACCAGCGGAGCGGCAGACGCGGTTAAGGGCAGGACCGGAACAGGAGGAGGCGAGGGAGAGGATGGCAAAGTAGAAAAGTTCAGCTACGCAGACATAGCTTGTGTTTTTGTTTTTCTTTTCCTTCCGCCTTTGTAAAAACTTCAGCTGCTTTTTACAACAAAAAGCCTCCAACTACAACGGCCCTGCTGACAAACCACTGTGCCTGGGGCCGGGAAGGCTGGGGACCCGGCGGCGGAGCGGGGCGGGGTTGGGGGGGCGAGCTCATCTGTACTGCACGAAGGTGGGAGTCACTCCACAGTCACGGTGGAAAGGAGGTGGGGACGACGTGGGGTCGGGGTCGCTTGCTTGCTTGCTTGCTTGTTTCGTGTTAAAGCGAGCAGGTCGATGTCACGTATCCACGGGGGCAAGCCGGTTGGACGATGGAGCTCTCAGGAGTGGAGAAGAGAAGGGAGGTCTCTCAGTCCGGGCCAGGTGGTTGGACGGTGGATCTAGTGAGATGCCAAGGCCAAGCGGGGGCCCTGTCCTCAAGGCGGGGGGCGAGGCGTGGCCAAGCACCTTCAGGCCTTGCTCTCCTCCACTTTGACCGCCCGAGGCTTGATTGCTCCGGTTCTCTTCATCTGGGAGGCGGCCGAGGGGGCCTCCTGGAGTTTCACAGCTCCCAAGCTGGGTTTTTCATCCACTCGTTGTTTGGCCTTTGGACAGATGAATGGGGACAAAGACAGTCACCCTTCCGCAGAAACACCGGTCTGGATACACAGCCCCCACCGCCCCCTGACTGCTTCTGAGTCACAGAGGAAAGCCACCCTAAGAAGCCCATCCTTTGGTGGAAGGACCGGACTGAGAAGGAACTGGCGTGAGTAGGAAGGACACTGGCGTGAGAGGCTCTCTCCCCTCCCACGGGTGCTGAGGGCGGTGATTCGGAGAGGCAGGAAGAGGCTGGGTCCTCCGGGAAGCATTCTGTGATGCCCACAGGCCTCTGAAGGAGCACCACTTCCCAGGCCGACCCGAGAGACCTTTTCAAATCAGTGCCCCCCGTGGCCCAAGGGTAAAAAGCCCCCGAGCAGATCCAAGTGCACCCCATGAGTCGGAACTCCCGGATGTTTGCCGAGGGGCACGGGGCCACTAGGTGGACTTGGTCCTCCCCGATCTTGGACCTCCCCTGCCTCCCGCTCTGTGGAGACCTTTCCCCAGGACCCTAGTATGCCCTCGAGATTCCCAGCCAGGGTCCCATTGACCTGCAACTCTGCGCAGTGGACGGGTCACAGAGCGGCCAGCCTCGACTCTGCCCCCCACCCCCCCCACCCCCCACCGGGGTGCAAACTCTGGAAGAAAGCTTTAGCAGCTCAGTTCAAGCAATTCAAGGAGCGACCCTCCAGGGAACCAATCAAACTTCCACCTCCACCAGCCAGGAATGCGGTATTAGTAAAAAACCACGCCTGATGCGTGGGAGCTCTGGAGCCCCATCGCGTTTTAGAGCAGTAGCCGAGAACGGTGCCTGAAGGCAGAGACCCTGAGAAACCCCTTCTGTCACAGAATGGGAAGGCGTCGTTCCACGTGTAATCCCACCCAGCCAAGACAGAGACGAGACACAGCACTTACTGGAGCCGGCACGCGCACGCACACACGCACACACACGCACATGCACACACGCGGCTTCTAGAGCTGACCCACAGACCTAACCGAGTCCCAGCGCCTTCACAGCCCAAATCGCTGTGGAAGGAGAGTCCACCTTCTGGCACCACCTCCTCAGAGGAATCCGCATCCTCCCTTCTCTGCAGGACAAGGAAGGATCCAGACGCCCGTCAAGAGGAGAAATGCCTTCGCCAGGAGGGACTCAGGCTGCCGGTTGCCGGCTCCCGGCTCCCGGTGCCACACTCTAAGCGCTTAGGGCACGTCTCTCTTTATAAGAGGAGCACTCAAATGGGTTGGACACAGTCCCTTCTCTTTTGGCGCCTGGAGATGGGCCTAAGCGTCCGGGGCTGGAAGGTCTGGAAAGCCATCTTCTACCTGTTGAACGTAGTGTCCCTGCACAGAGCCCATGTTAACTGCTGATCCAGAGGGCTTCCCACTGGGGCTAGCAGAGCTAGGCCTGAAAAAACCAAAGGCAGGGGGTGAGAACACGCGCGTCGCCAGACAATGGAGTCAAGCCTAGCACACAGCGCGGCCCTGGCTCGGGCGGCACCCTCTCCGACAGAGGAAAGCCAAGACCTCGGACAGCCAGAGTGCAGAGGGTGCCGGGGCGGCTCATGCAGACGCACCCGAGGGCACAGAGGCCAAGGCCCCTGCCGTGGGCAGACACTGACCAGACGGGTGGACGGGCACCGACCGTCTCTCAGGGTTTGGGGGGTTTGGGCCAATGGGATTCTGTGACCCAGACACACGGTCTATGCAGCTGACTTAAGGGCGGTGCGGAGTATTTTCTTAGGTTTTCACTTTTGTATACGATGGGGGTGGGAGGGGCGGAAAGGGAAACGAAGAGCAACAAAAATCTTTCGGGACGTCTTTCTGAATGTGTTCCACTGACTGGACAATCAGTTCTCGTGGACGCTAATTACATGCCACGTGGAGAAAAAGATTCTGTGGTCAAAAGCTTGAGAAGTGGTATGTGCTGAGTTTGTCAGGACCCGCGATGGCGGGGGTACCTAGACCCCCCTCGTGCTGAGGAGCATGACCCCCAATAAGCACGTCCAAGGACCTGACCGGAGGGCCCTTTTGTGGCAGGACGTGCCTCAGAAGCTCTGCGTCTGGAAAACACGGGAAACACTGCTCTGTGAAAATATACCGATTTCCCCAACCCCGCTAACATGCCGGCCGAACAAAGGCTATCCGTTAATGTTTATGTTTTCTACATAGTCTTTCTCCAAAGAGTTGGCTGCTGCCATTCCTACGCTACATAGACACGGACGACTCCTGTCATGTGAGTTTCCGTGTTCCGGCTGGTCTCTGTCCTTGGATGCGGCTAAATGCCACCTGTGGCAGCCACGGAGACACAGCATCTGTTCATCTGCGAAGCTCCCTCTGGTCCAACCTACGCTCACTGTTTGTGTGGCTGTCGGGCCGCACCTTTCCTACAGTTCTGTTGTTTTGACCTTTGTGAAAAATGTGGCTGGGGAACAAAACAAATAAACAAAAATAAGTGAAGCCAAGAGAATAAAAGAAGAACAGAAAAGATGATGAAATGGGGAAAAGGTCACAAAAAACGCCTTTCTCTGGAAATGTGGAAGTATGGTAGGACCAGACAGATGGGACAGGGGAGAAACGCAGCCTCGACACTCCAGGAGCGACGGGGCAGCGTGGCCACGGCACGAAGACTCGAGATGGTGACCTGATGTGCAACAGCGTTCCCTTCAAGGGGCCCGGGCCGCCCCGGAGCCGGGCTGCTGACCTCTCACAGGGCAAGGGCGCTGCGAGCCGTGCACGTCTGTTCTACCCACCCCCTGCCCTGCAAGCCCGAGGGCTCTCCAGGCTTCTCCCACATGAGACGAGAGTTGGCTGCACCCACCCGTGGGCCCCACGCCACAGCGTGCCGCCTCCCGTCCCCGCACACTTCTCCTCAGGGGCGAGCAGGTCAGCGAACCACTGGTTCTGCCACTTTCTAGTAGAAGGAATTCAGCACAGGGATTCACACAAAGCCACCTCCAGATCCAGCTAAGTAAGGGACCTGGGGCAGCTACTGGAGGCAGAGACCGAGGCCAAGGACGCGAAGAGAAGGTGCCGGTCCACGCTGTGGGAGGCACGGACGCCCCCGTGAGGCCAGCAGCCACCGGCCTGGCAGGGCCAGAGGCCTGGTGCAGGGGACAGGCAGCCCTGAGGAAAGGGAATTCTCCCCGCCTTCCAGGGTGTGTACCTTCCTGGCCAGTGAATCCTTTGTCAAATCTGGTGAGAAAGCTGTGAGCAGTCAGGATGGGCCTCACACGAGTAAACGTCCGTTGTTCCTTTTCCTACCTTTCCAAAAAGCTCTCCCAAACCAGAGCATTTTATTATGATGATGATTAAAGGCAAACTGCTCTGACAGTTCCTGATTTCTCCATGGTTAACTAAAACAGGAGCGTGTCCCAGCACTGAAACTTCAAGGTGACACGTGGCCTCCAAGGGGACCCAGCCTCAGGGCCCTTCCGGGGCGCTCCCTGGTCCCCTAGGACTCGCCAACACCACTGAGTCGCATCTAGACCAAGTACTCGGCGATGCAGCACCCGACTCCCAGGGCATTTCTTTACCTGTAAGTCTGCGGCGATGGCACGGAGCCTCCTGAAGGAACATTCTGTTTACTGTCGGCAAAGTGGAAGCCCTTCATCTCCATCTGAGAGGACTAAAGACACCAAGAAGGAATGAGGGGTCACTCGATGGCCCTGGAGACACCTGGCCCTCACCGAACCACCCGTGCAGAGCCGATGAGGACTTCTGCGGACGAGGAATTCTCTTAAGAAATGCGTACTCCCCTGCCCCCCAGTCTAGGCTCAGGAGGCGGCTTCTTGGAAGTGGGAACTGTACTCTGTGTTTTTGTTTTTTTGAAGTGCAGTGGGGAGAGAGGTCTGTGCGTCACCACCAGGACGGCCATCAGCAGAGCCCAGGCCAGACACGTGTTCTGGGGATCTGGGGGACCGGTCTCTGAAATGGCCCCACAGCGGCTCCACAGGCCGAAGGGCCCAAGCGTCAGCATCAGCTACCACACTCCTCCCCTCTGCTCTGGGCCTTGGTTCCCATCGCTAGCTTACACAGGAACCAAGGGGGTCCCACCATGGGGTTCCCCACGAGCAGGAAACCAGTGGTCTGGTGAGGCCAAGAGCTTGCCCCTCACCTAGACCTCTGGCGCTTTCTGCCACAACAGTGGTTCCTGACTAGCTAGTAAGGGTTCTCCCCAGGACGCGACAGGATGAAGTCATCCTTACCTCTCTGCTGGTGTTAAGGACCGAAGGCTGGGACCCAGGTGGAAGGATTCGTCGGGGAGCCCCGACGGAGAGGCTCTGCCCCTGTGGCAGCTGGATGGACTGTGGCAGAATCAGGGGCTGCTGCCCGGAGCCGTACCGAGGCAGAGGCAGCTGGGAGCCAGGCAGCGGCATCGTCAGCTGCTGGATGACAGGGACAGTCAAGAGGAGGCATGGATGTTGGGGAGAAAGCCACAGACTACTGGTCACACCTGCCCCCAAGAGTAAACACAGATTATGCTTCAGGTTCTCGTTTCAAGACAGCTAAAGAGAGGCCTCTGCACAGCCGTAGGTTCTGGGTTTCTGTTCGAGCACACCCTCTGAGGGAGGGGCAGGTCTGATCGCCGGAACAAGGCAGGGGGTGAAGATAAGCCCAAGGCCACGCACGCGGCTCCTCTCTAGGGCTGCAAGAGCCACGTGCACCCCAGACCTTCTTGCTCGCACCCAGCCAGGGTCTGCTCAGTGCACGTTACGTGCCGGGGAAGCACCAGGACATGGTCAGACCAGGGAGCAGCAAGGACCCAGCACGTGGAATGTGGGCAGCAAACCCCATGTGCGTGGGGGATGGGGAAGAGGAAGGGAAGGTCAGGAAGGCTTCTTAGGAAGCAACGTCCAAGCGAGCCCCCAGAGACGAAAGCTGTGTGGATGTGTATCTTTGGCCTCTTTGGTGCAGCACAAAAAGGCAAAACTCCTCTGTTGCTTTGCTGTTGCTCTAATGGTGATACAAAACAAGACACAACTGGGTTCTGGAACTGAACTGGAGACTCTGGATCCTTCTGAAGGCCGTTATATCAAAAGAAAG